ACCGTATAATTTACAGTGAATAACCGTAAATTGACATTCCCAGAATTCCCTGCATTACATTACAAATTGGATGTTTTTTTGTTGAAATAACTGTTTCTTCTTAGTTTTTTCTTATCAGTTTTGTATATGAGGGTTGTGTGTTACACCTAATGTTGTTAAATGAATGTTCATTGCATTATTTCAGTGTCATGTGTGTCACCGTGATGGTGTTTAGTGTTTGTGTGAATGACACACTGTGCAACTTCTATATATGCTATTATTTAAAAGCTGCTTGTGATGGGCTTTGGTTCATAATGTGACTTTCTCATCACCTCCTGCATTTGGTGGTTATCAGTGTATTACAAAGCTACAAAACAGATTTCAGTACTTCAATAGGTTGGTATATTAACATTATATCAGTTAATGAAATTATGGTATGTAACTGTAAATTTAAGTTAAAACTGTAAAACCTAAAACGTTGCTACCATATTTTTTACGGTAAAATTCCGGCAACCACAGCTGCTGTTTTTTAAAATTCCGGCAACCACAGCTGCCGTTTTTTACCGTAAATTTTACTGAATTTTTTCTTACCGTGTAGAACAAATCGCCTATATAAAGACTAAATATAATCGCCAAGACTTTGGAATGAGTTGCCTCTGCTGATCAGGTCTGCCAAATCAGTACATTTTTAAGAAACCGTTGAAAGCACATCTAATGTTGGTGGCATACAATGATTGAGGTGGTATTTTATATGCCGATGTGGTGTTTTATGTCGTCGATGTTTGTTTTCATTCTTGTACTTTTTATGTAAAGCACTTTGGTTCAACCTCGGTTGTGTTTTAAATGGTGCTATATGAATAAATAAACAAGAACAAGAATATTAGATACGTTGTTGGTGGTTAAATTATTACCGACATTAAAACATATCCAAGATTCACACCTGTAATAAATGTTGTTAATCCCCAAAAACTGATACTGTGACATATTATTGCATATTCATGTCTGGATCATTTCAGCTTGTGTAACAAAGTAACTGAGGCCAATAAGGGTCATTGCATGCCACCATGTTTTTTTTAGGAAGTATTAAATAACTGCTAAAAGAATTAGGACTCGTCCGTTGTTGGTGGTTAAATTATTACCGACATTAAAACATATCCAAGATTCACACCTGTAATAAATGTCGTTGTTAATCCCCAAAAACTGATACTGTGACATATTATTGCATATTCATGTCTGGATCATTTCAGCTTGTGTAACAAAGTAACTGAGGCCAATAAGGGTCATTGCATGCCACCATGTTTTTTTTAGGAAGTATTAAATAACTGCTAAAAGAATTAGGACTCGTCATTCTGTTACTGTGATTAAAAACCCATAAACACACATATAGTAATCCAATATCAGACATTGATCTGCACATTACAATGAATTTAAAGTAAAAACATAGGATTCATTTTTACACAGTATGTAATGTTCTAGAGCAGGGGTGTCCAATCCTGCTCCTGGAGGTCCACCATCCTGCAGAGTTTAGTGCCAACACGCTTACCTGAAGTTTCTAGCGAGACTGAAGACCTTTGCTTTGTTTGAAATAACCCCCTACTCCCTCAATCACTATTAGTCCACTTGAAGGAGTCAATGAAAACAAGTGAGTGAATTCAAACACTTGAGTGTGCCGGAAGGGATTATTAATAATTTGAAACTTAACTGCAAGATCCAGTAGTAGGATTAAAAGATGTATCTTGAACTCTGTTAAAGACACTAGCATGTATAAACCTTAATAAAATAATTTAATAATTAATTAAAAGGAATGTATGCCTGTATGATACTACATTGTGGCCACATTGGACCAGTGGTTTAGAAAATGGAGGGATGATTCAGCTGCAGATGCCATCTTCTGGTGAGACACGGAAATTAATTTGGCTCGAACATCATGGTGCATTATGGGCATTCATTAGCTGTTGGTGTACATCATTTGTCCACTCGTTGGTGAATTGTGGGACTGAATGAGCACACTGTGTAAAGTCCACTGTGGTTTTGGATGCCATTACAAATGGCTGTCTTCTCAAATAGTGCCCTATTCAAGGGTACAGTGGTGATTCCAGACACAGCTCTTGATGAGCTGCTTCAGGTGTGTTTAATTATAGTTGGAGCTAAACTCTGCAGGACAGCGGCCCTCCAGGAGCAGGTTTGAGCACCCCTGTCCTAGAGACATTCTTGTTATAGGTTTTACTTTTTTACAACAATAAAACAACATTCCTGTAACGCTGTGTTTTTGACAACCTAGAAATAATTACATGATGAAGCTATGATGATTGTGGGGCAGCGTGTTTCTTCTTGTGTGTCTTAAAACCCCATTTAAAAGCGAATCTCTCGCCGCAGATGGAGCAGCGGTAAGGTTTCTCTCCTGTATGATGTCGCTCATGGACATTCTTGACACATCCTCGAGCGAAAGTCTTGTCACAATACGAGCATTTAAAAGGTTTTTCTCCCGTATGAGTCCTCCGGTGTATTTTTAAGTCATTTGCGTTAATAAAACCCTTCCCACAATCACTACAGGGATACGGTCTTTCTCCTGTGTGAACTCTCTGATGAATTTTGAAAGCAAATGATCTAGCGAAGCTCTTCCCGCAGTCGGAGCACAGGTACGGTTTCTCTCCGGTGTGAATCCTCTCGTGGGTTTTACAGTGAGTTGAAAGATGGAAACGTTTCTCACAGTGTGAACACTGATATGGTTTGTCATCAGAGTGCATTTTTTGGTGTAACTTTAGAGAAGCTGAGCTTATAAAAGGTTTTCCACATTCACTGCACTGATACGAATTCTCATTGTTTCTCCATCAGAAGATGAACCAGCATTCTTATCTGAAAGAAACAAAATTGTCATAAAATATCATTTTTTCTATAACTTTGAGTGGAACAACAAATTCAGCTCTGACTTTCTGTTTGCTGCTGCCATGTGTTTTGAGTTTGAGCTCCGTCAATTAAATTTTTTATCATCTACTTTTTTTTTATCTTAAAATCAATTTTATACACCATTTTCGTTTCTATAACGTGTGAATATATCCCCTATCGTATTCTACAACAAAAACAACCAGAGCGCCTTGTTATCACTAGTTTTATTTTGATTTCCCGAGTCCGCTATTAGCATTTAGCTTGTTAGCATCGCCAGCGTGGTTGCCGCTAATCTCGCTTACATTGCTAATACTCTATTCACACACATTACCATTGTTTTACTCACGGTTACTTGCTTTAATAGCGGATGTGGGGCTATCTTTGAGTGCAGGTGAGGACACGTTCGAGCTGCATTTGGTGCAGCTCGAGCTGGAGGCCGTGGAGAAGCAGATCCGGGGCCTGGTGGCGAAGCAGACCCAGCTGAGAGAGCGGAGAGCCGCGCTGGAAACATCCCAGGCTGACGCTCACAAGTCCGGGGTAAGTATACAACGTGCTGCTAACTCTCCCACCACCTCCACCCGGAACCGCTTCGCTCCCCTCCGCGAGACGGAACGCGACGCTGTGATCATCGGAGACTCCATCGTCCGGCACGTCCGTGCTACGTTAGCTGAAGGTAAAGTGCACACACACTGTTTCCCTGGTGCTCGTGTTCTCGATGTTTCTGCGCAGATACCCGCAATCCTGAAGGGCGGCGAGAGCACCGGAGCGGTCGCGCTTCACACGGGGGCTAATGACACCTAGCTGCAGTAGACGGAGACACTGAAGAGGGACTTCAGGAGCCTGATCGAGACGGTGCGCCGCACATCGCCCTTGACGACGATCATCGTGTCAGGACCGCTTCCCACGTATCGACGAGAACATGAAAGGTTCAGTAGACTTTTTACTTTAAATGAATGGTTATTGTCATGGTGTATAGAACAGAAACTGCTCTTTGTTAATAATTGGAATTTTTTCTGGGAGCGTCCTAGGCTTTTTCGCGCTGATGGCCTGCACCCCAGCAGAGTCGGAGCGGAGCTCATGTCAGACAACCTAGGATTTACACAAGCTTCAGTCTGGATCCAGAACACCTGAGAAGAGATGATGCAACCCCTCAGAGGACCTCAGATGATGCCAACCCTGAAACAACTTACACAACTACCACATTTTGCTAAAAGTTTGATTGCATCATATAATAATTGCTGTTAATAGTGTTCATCGTCTGTTTGATTACGTCTTATATTGATTTTTCCCTACATTTCTGTCATATGTACATTAACTGACAGTCACCACTGATAAGCTACCACTAAATAATGTAGAAACTTAATTTGCTGTAAAGTTGCTTTGCAATGACTTGTATCGTGAAAAGCGCTATACAAATAAACTTGAATTGAATTTAACTGAACAATCAGCCAAAATAAATTGAGATATGTCTTATTATGATTGTCAAACTGCAAAGGCTGTGATTTAAATAAATACACAATCTGATGTGTAGCGCCGTGATATTTTATACACATGCAGCTAACGGTATGTCGTTCTCAATGTCTCTCCACAAACACTGCTCCACATGAATTTAGGACTGTACATGCATAATACTTTTTATAAATGAACACCAATTTTGTTTATTCAGCATTTCTGGTCATAAAAGGAAGAACCATACCTGAAGGAACAAAGTCACCTTCATCAACATCCCCATTATTCTCCTCATCCTCCTCTTCCTCATCACGGTGTTGTTGTTCTTTCTCTGCGGTGGTTTCTTCAATAATGAATACACACTGATTTAACCTCAAAAGAATTGTTTACATGTGAGCTGAACTACACAGAACTGACTTGTTATTGAAGAATACATGAGAATATTATCACAATATGAAGACATTGTTTACGACAAATATCATGGTTTAAAAACTTACTGTAGTAAAACAATAGGACATTTGTTATGGTTACTGTAGTAAACCCGTCCTTATTTTTCAGGAGGCTTCATTCATAAAACACTAGCGATAGAAAAATAACCATCTAAAACACATGAATAATATAAAAGAGATTCAACACTAACCGTCTGAGTGCTCAGTCTCCTTTCTTTCTTCAGTGGTTCTTCTTCTTCTGGTTTTATGGTGGGTGGCGAACCAACTTAATATATGTGCATACCGCCACCTACTGTGACGGAGTGTGAAGAAAATGTAAATCCTATATTCTGTTCATTACTCCACAATTCCTAAGAAATCTCAAGATTGCACTTAACGCTTTCCTGCGTTCGGACCATCATTCAGAATACTATAATGAAAATTCTTTAATTCCTAAAGATTGTAATTCAGAACGTGTTCGACTGATTCCTATGTTGAACACACAAAGGCCAGTATTTCCTTATAATGTTGTCCTATTCATATATGTGTGAAAATGACTTGTTCCCTTCTACTTATGTTATGAATAATTTTACTTCTCTTCATGATCCTTTGTATTTTGTGATAATACCTACCTGTTTGACACGAGCCCATATGTCTGACTCTGTAATATTGCATGCGTTTAATATTAAATGTTTCCCTTCTCTTCTGCTGAGTGCAATATTTATACTTGGACCAACCATTAAGGATTATTTTGCCATTTTATCTACCTCTTCTTTACCTTGAATTCTCACATGTGCTGGTACCCATATAAACAGAGTATTATCCCTATCGGTTTAATACTGTATAGCGTAATCATGATTTCTGATCAAATTTCATTTCTATTTAATTGCCATGATTGTAAACTCATAAGAACCGCCATTGAGCATATTATTACTTTATCCGGTCTTACTTCATTTACCCACCCTAAAGCCATAAGGATTGCTACCAATTACAGTATGTAATTCTTCCAGCCTTCCTAACCTCAAATTCTGGAATGAAACATACAGCACTTGTCCTTCCAGTTTCTATGTTCTTTGATCCATCTGTGTAAACATGGAGAAATAAATAATGCATAGTTTTTAGATATTCTTTATCATACACTTTTAAATTAATCTTGTCCCCCATTCCCTTAATTTCTTTTTGTATGTTTAAGTCAACTTCAGGCTGTTCTAATAACCAAGGCACTATTGGAGAAGTTACTATTACAGATGCAAATTTATTTGATTCTATTCCAGTTCCATTGATCAGATTCTTCAGTGGTTTTACCGATGGAATAAAGAAGAAAGTCAGAGCGCCTCCTACCTACCGTACAAGCGATGGAGCTGAAGTGAAGTAAAGATGCTCCTCTCAGGTGTGTGGAGGGCTGCACCAAACCTAATTTCTTTTATTTCAAAAACACTGTATTTGAGTGGCGTGGCCAAGAGATGGATAGGCCTATAGCATATCCATATGTTCATATACGTAATTATAAAATAAAGACAATCATGTTAGTTGGCTGGTCAATTTAAATGACCATTAATTTTTTAATTACGCAAGTTGGTGGCTTTCTGAAGGACAGGACAAGAGAAAATGCACACAGAATCAGAAAAACGCAGTAAAGAGATTAACAACAGAGAGAGTAACACAATAAACTTGCTTTTTTAGTTGTATTACACTGCTTACTGTAGGGTATGCTGAGATGTTATGTATAGGGTCTCACCTCAGTCGTGGTATTGAAGGTGGAAGGGAGTGCTGTACACTCACTCCCCTCAGAACAAAGGCCTTCTGTAGCGAATCGATGCGTTTTGGTAAGAAAAATATCCATATTCAAAACGTATCGATTCGCTACAAAAGGCCTTTGTTCTCCCACCAGAGCCATGTGAGACACTTTTTATTATGGATGGGCGCTTTTTATTTAACTTCTTTTGGACTGATGCACTGCAACACCCGCTGAGTGCCATTAAACAGATTGAAAGATCAAAGACAATTTTTTATATAACTCCAACTGGATTTGTCTGAAAGAAGAAAGTCATATACACCTAGGATGCCCCGGGGGTGAGTAAAATGCAGCCTATTTTTCATTTTTGGGTGAACTAACCCTTTAATCTAAAAGCTTATGCGATCTAAAACAATGACAAAAGTCACATTTAGAAGACATAAGCATCAACTTAGTCTATCATTTCCACCAATATGAATCAACAATTTTGATGACATCACCCTGCACTTCAGTTTCTCATCCAACTTTTTGTTCAATCAAATGCTCTCTAGAATGCAAAGTGTCCGGCCCCCTGCACTATAAATAGATGCTGAAGCTGCAGCTGAAATCAGTCACTTGTTCACAGAATTATTATGGTGAATGGCACCTAGTGCACTATGTAGGGAATAGGGAAAAATCCCAACAGTGCATGCTTTTGATTGGGGCAAATGAAGTCTGGTTTGGTGTTAGTGTTACAGCACGCACACACATATAGCCGAGGCTGGTGCTGGAACCGGTGCTCAGCCAAGAGTGGCACTCGTTCAGAACTGGCTCATGTTTCCAATGACAGGGAGCAGAACCCTCTATGTCACCAACATGTGACCGGAATAGCTTGCTAATCTCTTGCAGAAGGAAAGTGTTGGTCTCTTCTGCCGACCACTGATATATTTAATTGTTGTCAATTTGCCTGAACTCTGACAACTTTTAAAAATGGCACCTTTTAAACTGTGGTCTCTAGTGGAAGCTCCGCCTACTGACGTCATAGGATCCCTTGTTCGAGACAAGCAAGGTTTCAGGGCCTGTTCGGAACCAGGATCTTGGTACCAGCCCAGGATTTTTTGATTGGAATAGCACAGCAGAGTGGTTACAGTGTGCTCTGGTCCGGAGACACTATAACAGACCGGATCACATGTGTGAACCGGCACAGACAACAAAACTTGTCAGACCTATCTGAATTCTACACAGAATGCTATATTTTATAGCGATATTGATGGGACAGATGTTCTGATCAAAGATCAAAGGTGGCATCTCTTCAGCTCATTAGTGCTGTTTCTCATGCCGAGTCTGTATAGACATATATTGGTGAATGGCATCTGTTATAGATCAGCGGATACCACTGGTGCCACTTACCAATATATCCATCCTCAGCAAGATTATGGTCACTGTTTTGCCTTAGTAACTGTTTCAAATTCCAAAGAGATAATCTGGATGTCATAAGCTATCAAAAGCAGATTTACCGGGATCAATGACTCTGGCCCAAGTCAAGTAGAGATAACTGCAGGCTGGAGTAATGGGCGTGGTGTAGGGTTAAGGCATCCCAAAAGGTGGGGGCATGGAGAAAGGTCTTCATGATTGGTCGACAAAGCTGTCTGTCAGGATGCAGGGGTAGGGATAGGGGTAGTTGTACTGATTTACCTTTCGGAGCACCTCCTTCCAGCACACCCATTACTCCAGGCTGCAGCTACCCCTGTCTCGGCCAAGCTGATATGAATGAAACACTATTGGCCATTTAACAAAAGGCTGGAATGCCTCAATATAGCCCGCCCCTTGTCTTTTTGTTTTAGTTGAAATTACGTCACCACATAGGCACTTCAGTGGACCTTTAACGGAACACTCAAAGATTCACACCTGTAAGTAAATGCCGGTCACTCCCAAAAACTGATATTTTGACATATTATTGCATATTCATGTCTGGATCATTTCAGTTTGTGTAGCAAAATAACTGAGGCCAATAAAGGTCATTAGATGTCATCATGTTTTTCAGGAAGTATTTAATAACTGCTAAAAGAATTAGGACTCGTCATTCTGTTACTGTGATTAAAAACCCATAAACACACATTGTAATCCAATATCAGACATTGATCTGCACATTACAATGAATTTAAAGTAAAAACATAGGATTCATTTTTACACAGTATGTAATGTTCTAGAGCAGGGGTGTCCAATCCTGCTCCTGGAGGTCCACCATCCTGCAGAGTTTAGATGCATTATCAAGATCTGTCTGAGAGTTTCTTAATTGACTCTAACATTTGTGATGTAAAGCCAGTGATAGCGGATACTGCAGAGCCCTACGAAACAGTCGATGCTCTTGAGCTGCAGCTTGTACTTCAAATGGGCAGAGCGGGTCGATTGTTCTCTGGCCTGTTGTATCGAGTCAGTTACAAATATCAAAAATGAATTGCCCCGAAAAAGTTAAATACTTTTGGGAAGGGGACATTCTAATGCGCTGTTGGAGACCCATTGCTCGTTCCTCCCTTAACGAAGTCCTCAGCAATACAGGGAACCAGTCCTGAAAATCGCTCATGAACATGCACTCTCAGGGCACTTGGGACATTTGAGCGTGTATCCCGCTATTTCTATTGGCCGGGTCTGCAGTTTCTACGTTCTGCCAATCATGCACTTTTTGCCAAATAGCTGGTAAGCCTAACCAGAAACTGCCCGTTGCCCCCTTACGCCCAATTCCAGTCATGCGAGAACCTTTTGAACGTTTGTTGCTAGACTGCGTTGGTCCCCTGCCCAAATCAAAATCAGGACATGAGTACATTCTGACTATAATGTGCATGTCTACCCGTTTCCCTGAAGCGATTCCGTTACGCTCTATAAAAGCTCCTATAATTATTCGAGAGCTAATCAAATAATGTATGGTCTTTGGATTGCCAAAGGTTATACAGACTGATCGAGGCACAAACTTTACCACAAAACTGTTCGTGCAAACCCTGAAGCAGTTTGAAATAAAGCATGAACTTTCAAGCGCTTATCACCCACAGTCTCAAGGGGCTGTGGAAAGGTTCCACCAAACCTTGAAAATTATGTTGAGGACTTACTGCTTAGCAAGTGGTAAAGACTGGGCAGAAGGTTTGCCATTACTGTTGTTTGCTGTCAGAGAAGCCGAACAAGAGTCACTTGGATTCAGCCCTGCCGATCTTGTCTTCAGTCACAGTGTGAGAGGACCACTCAAAGTGTTGAGCAAGCAACTGTTAGCTAAAGATTCACCGCCTGTGCCTGTTCCAGACTATGTAAGCTCATGTCGAGAACGCCTACACAGAGCTCGCGAACTGGCCAGGGAAAACTTGAATGAAGAAACTCTATGATATGAAGAGTGTTGTTTGCAGCTTCCAGCCCAGTGATTAAGTTCTTGTTGTTCTGCCTGAGCCGGGTTCAGCGCTGCATGCCAAGTTCTGCGGTCCCTACTCTGTGAAAGAGAAACTCAACGAGACAGACTATATCATCAACACTCCTGACAGGCGGCGTGAGACTAGAGCAGGGGTGGCGAACGTCAGTCCTGGAGAGCCGCAGCCCTACAGAGTTTTGCTTCAACCCTAATCAAACACACCTGAACATGCTAATCAAGGTCTGAAGGGTTACTAGGAAGCTACAGGCAGGTGAGTTTTAATTAGGGTTGGAGCTGAACTCTGCAGGGCTGCGGCTCTCCAGGACCGGACGTTCGCCACCCCTGGACTAGAGTATGTCATGTCAACATGCTAAAGAAGTTTGTGCAAGACTCTAAGCCTGTTTCCCCATGCACCCCTGCAACTTTACCATTACCAGCAGCGGTAGTGATGCAAGCCACTAAGCAAGATTGTGTAAAATTACAGAACTCTGCTGTGTTAAAAGACCTCACCTCTTTTCTTTCTCACCTCGAACCTGAGCAGGTTGACCAGATCACGCAGTTGATGTATCAGTTCCCATCCCTGTTCTCCAATGTTCCAGGGAGAACCACAATCCTTGAACACAACATTGACGTGGGTTCGGCCAAGCCGATTAAACAACACTCCTACAGAGGAGTGTTAACCCAGTGAAGGGACACATAATGAAGACTGAAGTTGAATATATGCTACAGCATGGTTTAGCTCAACACAGCCAGAGTCCGTGGAGTTCACCCTGCCTATTAGTTCCCAAGGCATATGGAACTTACCGTTTTTGTAGACTTTTGCAAAGTGAACGCGGTCACAAAGCCTGATTCTTTTCCACTTCCACGTATGGAGGACTGCGTGGATAGGGTAGGGAGGCACCAACAATATTGTCGCGGATGCCTTATCAAGATCTGTGGATGGGACTGCTTAAGTGATGTGTAATTAGAATGGTGGGACAGAAACTTCAGTGAACTCTGGTCTGTAATCTTAGTGGTGGGGGTGTTACGCCCTAAGGCGTTTAAGACTTCTTGTTACGCCTCCACAATACCTCTAGACTAGGAAGCAGGATGTAACACAGGTGGAGGCCACTGACATTTTTTCCCTACTCATCTTTTTTGACTGTTTGTCACTAGTTTTGCATTTGGCTAGGGCCAGTGTCACTACTGGAAGCATGAGGCGATAGCTGGACCCTACAGAGGTTGCACAGGCAGTCCAACTCCTCCAGGATGGCACATCAATATGTGCCTTCGCCAGAAGGTTTGCTGTGTCTAAGGCAGTTACTCTAGGAGAGCAGGACAGAGCCTTAACCCATCAGCAGGACCGGTATCTGCTCCTTTGTGTGCAAGGAGGAACATGATGAGCACTGCCAGAGCCCTACAAAATGACCTCCAGCAGGCCCCTGGTGTGAACGTCTCGGACCAAACAATCAGAAACAGACTTCATGAGGGTGGCCTGAGGGCCCAACGTCCTCTAGTGGCCCTATGTTCACTGTCTGGCACCGTGGAGCTCGATTGGCTGTTGCCATTGAACACCAGAATAGGCATGTCCGCCACTGGCGCCCTGTGCTTTTCACAGATGAGAGCAGGTTCACCCGGAGCACGTGACAGGTGTGCATTATGGGTATTCGCTAGCTGTTGGTGTATATTATTTGTACACTCATTATTGCGGCGCATTGTGGGATTGATTGAGCATACTCAAAATCCAGTGTGGTTTTCGATGTCATTTGAAATGGGGCAGGTGATTTCAGACAGTTTTTTAAACACAGCTCTTGATTAGCTGCTTCAGGTGTGTTTATTTATGGTTGGAGCTCAACTCTGCAGGACAGAGGCCCTCAAGGAGCAGGTTTGGACATCCCTGTCCTAGAGACAACTTTTTTACTTTTTACAACCATAAAACATTTCTGTAATACTGTGTTTTTGACAACCTAAAAATAATTACATGATGAATCTATGACGATTCTGGGGCAGCGTGTTTCTTCTTATGTGTCTTAAAACCCCATTTAAAAGCGAATCTCTCGCCGCAGATGGAGCAGCAGTAAGGTTTCTCTCCTGTATGCATTCGTTCATGGATCTTCAGGGAAGTTGATACAGCGAAAGTCTTGTCACAAAGTGAGCATTTAAAAGGTTTTTCTCTTGTATGAGTCCTCCGGTGCACTTTTAAGTCACTTAGCTTATAAAACCTCTTCCCACAATCACTACAGGGATACGGTCTTTCTCCTGTGTGAATTCTCTGATGAACTTTGAAAGCAAATGAACTAGCGAAGCTCTTCCCGCAGTCGGAGCACAGGTACGGTTTTTCTCCGGTGTGAATCCTCTCATGGGTTTTTCGGTGAGTCGAATAATGGAAACGTTTCTCACAGTGTGAACCCTGATATGGGTTGTCATCAGAGGGCATTTTTTGATGGAACTTTAGAGAAGCTGAGCTTATAAAATGTTTTCCACATTCACTGCACTGATGCGGTCTCTCATTGCTGTGCCTGAGTAAATGTGTCTTCAGATTAGATCCCTGGTTGAAGCTCTTCTCGCATTGAGGGCACTTGTATGGTTTTTCACCCGTGTGGATCCTCTTATGAACAGAAAGATCGCGTTTGTTGCGGAAATACTTGTTGCATTCGTTGCACTGAAGAGACTTTTCTTCGTGTGTCTTTATATGAGCTTTCATATTGTAAGGAGTGTTGAAAAAATCCTTCCCGCACTGTTCGCAGCGAGACTCCTTCTTCATACTGTGCTCTTTTGAATGAAGTGTTTTCTCTTTGAAGGTCGGAAAGCTGATGTTGCATATCTTGCAGGTGAAGTTATTCTGTTTTGTGTGTTTTCTCTGAGTTCTCGTTAAATGACCCTGTTTGCTCAGTGTTTTTCCACAGTTGGTCACTGTCCTTTGCTCTTTAGATGTAGATCCAGTTTCTCCATCAGAAAATGAACTAGTGCTGTCATCTGAAAGGAACAAAATTGGCATAAAATAACTTTTTCTATAAGTTCTAGAGCTGAATAATCAGTCAAAACAAAATTGAAATTGTGATATGTCTAAGTGGGGTTATCAAACAACAAAGGCTTTGATCTTTTATACACATGCAGCTGTTCTCAAATTGGCAGAATTCACAACAAACGCTGCTCCACATGAATTTAGGTCTGCATGAGGGTTGTGCGATATATATATCGTAATTAGGGATGTCCCGATCAGGTTTTTGTGCCCCCGATGCGAGTCATTGAATATTGAGTATCTGCCGATACCGAGTACCAATCCGATACTTGTATATTCCTAGTGTTTGGTTTGGTATTCAAATACATTAAAGTTATTAAAATCAAGCCAATGTATAGAGTTTTGCAGAGAATAAAAGTAAAATATGTATATATATATATATATATATATATATATAATAAAAAAATCTCTCTATACACACACACACTATATAAAGGTAGATGTAAACATGTCACAACGTTAACCAATGAAAACATACTGTGTGGTCACAATTATGAATATGGGACTGCTGTGCTGATATAAACAGCTTGTATTTTACAAGACGCAACCCATAGCAACGCGTTATGATAATGATGTCTCAGTCTGATAGCACATAAAAGTAAATGATAAATGAATGAGAGATTGTTACAAAAGTGTGCATCAAATACACTGAACACGGAAGCTCAAACGTGTGTGATAGGGATGCTCATATTGACCGTTTGACCATTAAACGAAAGTAAGAATTCTAAAGGGGTGGCTGACCGGTTTTTTTTCTAGGCTTGATTGTGTTTATGGGGTGGAGTCTAACATGTGTTAATGCTTCGTTGAAATGTTTTTTTTTTTTTTTACAATTTACCTTTATTCTACACCGCTCTGTCCCTTCTCCTTTGAACACTCTGATGATTTCCTGGTTTATGAAGCCCCTCCCTCAGATACACAATCGGATCAGATTGGTTAGCTGGCTCAGTGTGTTGTGATTCGCTAAACCACCAGTGCGCCTCTAAACGTCACGCCCCTCACATGTGCACTGGTGTTGTGTTGTAAACAATGGCGTAGTCAATATTGCTTATCAATTTGAGCCCGAATGAGACCCAGAGAATACTAGTGAAGAGGATCACGCAGAACCTGTGCAAGCACACGGCTCTTAATGGTATGGGTTTTTTGTTTGTTTGTTGTTTTCTCATACTTTTAGATATGCTGTTATCAGTATTGGGGAGTAACGGAATACATGTAACGGCGTTACGTAATCAGGATATAAAAATCTAGTAACTGTAATCCGTTACAGTTACATCAAAAAACAAAAGTTACATTTTGTAAAAAGTGGGAATACTATCAGGATTACAAATTGTTTAATTTAAAATGAAATAAATGGGTATTTTGACATAACGCTATATATATAGTCAGCCACTTTAAACACTCCAACCTGGCATACTCTCGGTTACAGGATATTCAGAGACAGCTCGGTCAACCAATAAAAAGACTTCAGCAAGACGTGCAGACTCGTTGGAATAGCACATTCTACACGATGCAGTCTCTGATTGAGCAAAAACAGGCGACTGGAGTATACGTGTCTGAAAACGAGCTCCCTGCCACTCTAGCTTCAAACCAGTGGAATCTTCTGGAGAAGATGGTAAATGTCTTGGCTCCCTTTGAAGAAATGACTCGTCAAGTGAGTTCTTCAGATGCTTTAGCCTCAGATGTAATTCCTGCTGTCACTGTGCTACAGAGACTGTTGCTGAAACAAATGGATGAGGACCACGGAATCAAAACAATGAAGAGCACTTTGCTTGATGCTTTGCAGAGGCGCTTTGGATAAAAGTGTCTGCTAAATGACTAAATATAAATGTATAAAGATCGATTCTTCTCCAACACAGACACTGCCAGGCAGGCCAAAGAAATGTTGATACTGGAGCTGCAAAAAATGTCTGGGGGAGAGACAGCCACACCTGAGACACATGGCGCATCAGCTGACAAAAGGTCTCACAGCGACAAGCCAGGTAGCAGTCTGGACATAGGGTTGCACCGATTGATAGACCGCAGTTCGGTATCGGTCGGTATCACCTCTGTTTTTTGCTATTTTTCTCTATTAACCGTGAAGCTGTGGCTTTAATTGCTTCAGAAACAATAATGTTACCAACTCCTTGCTGAGAAAGATAATGGAGCTCTTCAGCAGTTAAGCTATTTTATTGATAGAATTGCAGGGCAACTCTGAGAAGTTTCTGTGTTGCTGAATGTCTGTGTGTGCGCAGCATGGTCTGTGTGAATGACTGAATGTGTGTGCATGACAAGCTACAGCGAAGACAACGCATTTGTAAAGAACGCTTCTAATTTGTATTTTTTAAATGTACAGAGTGTGTTAATTTGTGCAATGATAACCTACCAAAAAAGATGATTTTATTAAATGTATTAGAACAAGTACACTATTATTTATGGGCTGAAAAACAAGATGCAAACAATCAGAATATTGCAACTGGTGGGGAATGCCCAATGTTAACATGAAACATATCTGCCATTACCTATATTGTAATACTGTGGTACTGGAGACCCTTCATAATGCACAGGTCAACTCTCTATAGTTAGCAATGGTCCTATAGCATGCAATGTTTAATAAACAGTTGTTTTTCTAAATTCTGCTGAGGTGAAATTCAGTGCAGTCCCATATCGTGATATGTATTGTATCGTGGCCTCTGTATCGGGATAGGTATCGTATCATGACTTTGTTGGCAATACACAGCCCTTAAAATAATGGTTTAATGATGTCTAATTCATAAAGACTGTCCCTTGCTGCCACCTACTGGCTCAACAATGTAACTGCACTGACTGACAGCATGGGTTATAGTTATGTTCAGTTTGACATTAAAGGGATATAGTTAGAGATAGTAAACCCAAAAATGAAAATTACCCCATGATTTACTCACACTAACAAGAACAAGCTATCCCAGCTGTATATGACTATCTTCTTACTAGTTATATAAAAAATGGCTCTTCCAAGCTTTATAGTGAGCCTCACATACTGACTTAAAGGGGTTCATTTTGCACTGAAAACTATTTGAACTTTATTAAAACTATTTGCACTGATTTACTGCGTTGGTTACATTTTGTTCATCTGTGCAGTGGCTCAGGAGACGAGTCTAAGTCTGTAAAACCTCAACAAACTGAAAAAATACAGCAGTTTTATGAAGTAATGCACGTTTTTTGAGGTAATGTGTGATGTAATCTTGTTAAAACGGATTTCATAAAATTGGTACAGAAAAACTATCATTCAGGAACTAGTATAGATATCAATTTTTTTTAATCAATACCCAGCCCTATTTGTTAGCATATTTTGGTGTTGACTTATTTCGAGATGGTGATAAGAAATGAGTTTGGTTTGGTTGAGCTGAAGATGAACTGAAGAGCTGCTCAAACCTCTCTGTTCAGTTGGTCTCCTCTTTCTCTCAGCTTTGCCTCCAGTGAAGCCACCTCTTTCTTCAGCTGACAGATTTCTGTGATGAAATCCTCAATATCCAGCATGGACAGATCAGTTCCTACTGATTTACAGCAGACCACATCCACCTGCGCTTTCATGCCCAGCATCTGAACACACACACAGCAGGATTATTAAAGACGCATTTATAATGAACTGACACTGATTTAACCTCAAAAGGCTTGTTTACATGTGAGCTGAACTACACAGAACTGACTTGTCATTAAAGAAAATAACATTTCAGAGAATATTCATAAATGTTTATTTCAGATGTAAGAGTGTTTGTTTAGTTTCAGTGAGTCAGCACAAAGCTGGACATAATTATCAGATATTTCCACACCCACCCACAGACACACACACCCAGACACATCCACTCACAGACACACACACACACACTCACAGACACACACACACTCAGACACACACTCACGCTCAGACACACTCACGCTCACAGACACACACTCACAGACACACACACTCACAGACACATCCACTCACAGACAGACACACTCACAGACAGACACACTCACAGACACACCCACTCACAGACCCAGACACACCCACTCACAGACACACACACACTCACAGACACACACCCACAGACACCCCCACTCACAGACACACACACACACACACATCCACTCACAGACACACCCACTCACAGACACACACATGCAATTATACACACTCAAATGAATTGGTATGGCTATAACCATTCAGCCAAAATGAGTCAGAAAACTGAAATAAGAGGTTAAAATCAGATCAGGCCCAGAAGGATTAAGCTCTGATAAAGCATTCCTGTTTATTTTTGTTAAATTTTTTGGAATTTTAATGTTTTGTATAAAATGCTTTCTGTATTCAGGTTTGACTGTAGTAATAATAAGTCAAAAGCTGATGCTTCAAATCAACATTTAAAACAACAAAAAAAATATAAACCTTAACAAAAAGTAGTCTTTGAGAATGCCTTAATATACATTTAAATCCACAACCTAATAAAAGTAAACAATTATGTATAAAAACAACTAGGGAATTCAAAAGCCTCTCTATAGATTCTTATACAGGCATCTAGTGGCTACACCATGAAATTACATGTTTTTCTTTCTTTGCTCTAACCAGGAGGTGCTAATCTGCCTTCAAAAAAATTGATTTTAAAGGCCTAGTCTCTATTTTAATCAGAGATACTGCATTGATTGAAAAATAATTAGATAAATAAAAAATTAGAGAAAATTTTTTTTGTACTATTTCTAATGGGAAAAATTTATAATAATTATTGCATAAATATTCATTATTACCATAAAATTATCTCAAAATACAAAAGAAAAAATATTATTGAACAAGAATATATTAGATTGATTTTACTGAAGAAAAAAAAAGTAAAATTTCAGGTGTCCGGTCACTTTTGACCAACAAGACCATGGATTTATTTTGCAATTTTATATAGGCTACTTAATTTTATATTAGCATGTATTTTTTATAATCCTACTTCCCAAAATAACAACTATATGGAGT